AAAATCTTTATATATAGTATTGTTTCACGAGGTGATTAAAGATGACACTGAAAGTAACTCCATTATTGTGGGGCCCAACCTGTGAACATTTCACGTGTAAACAATAGTTACAATATTAATGATAACCCCTCTTTCAAACAATTGGATACAAGCTGTAAATCTTTCACATGTACAGCGCAAACGATAAGAACTAGATAAATTAAAAAGCCCTCTATTACATTGCCACAATCATTGACATTCTTACTACCAGTAGTTATTGAATAAGCAATATATATATATGTGTGTGCGAGTGTATGTGTGTGTGTGTGTGCGTGAGTGTGCGCGCGCGCGTGTGTGTGTGTGTATCTGTGTGTGTGTGTGTGTGTGTGTGTGTGTGTGTGTGTGTGTGTGTGTGTGTGTGTGTGTGTGTGTGTGTGTGTGTGTGCGTGTGTGTGTGTGTGTGTGTGAAACTGCAATTAACAAGCGAAAGGGTAAATATTCGGTTATTATTATTATTATTATTATTATTATTATTATTATATATATATATATATATATATATATATATATATATTACTTTCGGTTCATTTTACTGTTAATTACCGAATATTTGAAATGACATGTGTTGTCATCAGTGATTTGACGTAACGGTCAATTTGTCATTATTGCCGGTAAAATGGTAGTCACTACTGGCAGCATGATAAAGATAATGGCAACTCACTGCAGATTGATTCTATCAATTTTTTAACAAAGTAGATACATACTAATATGTCGGGAAGCTTGTTTTTATCAAACTTAAATAGAGGGGGTAGTGGGGGAGGCTGGTGCGGAAGGAACAAATTACGATAGAGTTGCTAGTGTTGTGGGAAATAAAGGGGGAGCTCAGAGTTACTTTTACATTATAAAAAAGTCTCATTTATCCTTTTGCACCACCCTGCTTGAATAAGATTACATGACAAATTCATAAACAAGTAGATTTTGTTTCTGGTATACATGTATCTGAAGGCACATAGGTATATTAATGAACAACAATTCACTGTACTTTCACCTTGACTTTAATACAAATATTGGTATGGAATGTTTGTCAAAGTTATGAAAAAAATGCAGTTAAAATTATTCATCTGACGCGGTGCAAACAACACAATAGAACCTTGTTATGCTTCTAACAGACGGACAAGGTAATTAAAACAAATTTGAAATAATATAAAAAGTTACAGCTTGGTCATAATCCTGCGATCCTGGCTCTTAGGAATCAATTAGATTCAAGTACAGAGCTTGGATCAAAATCAAAGGTTCATGGTCAGTGTGTTGTAAGATAGAAAATGGGTTTTCTAGGAAACTCATCCTTATTTTCATGATCATTTTTTCTTCATTTTGATATTGCATTACCAAATCTTAAGTTTACGCATTGGCAATTGACATTATTGTTGTTGTTGTTACCATTATTATTATTATAGTTATTATTATTATCATTATTATTATTATCATTATTATTATTGTTATTGTTATTATTATTATCATTATTATCATTATTATTATCACTACTATTATCATTATAATATTTTCTATTTTTATCACTTTAATTATTATCATCATTGTTGTTATCATCTTCATCATATTATTATTATCATTATCGTCATCATTATCATTATCATTCTTATCATTATTATCCTCATTCTAATTGTTGCTAATGCTATTATTATTATCATCAATACTATAATCATGATCATTATCTATCCTCATTACCATCATCATCATCATTATCATTATTGCGCATGCTCAAAACCACACCCACACCCGGACTCGTACATCACAATAAACAGATAATGCATTCCCCAGGAACATGAGAATAAAATTAGATAGGAAGGCACCGCTGTATCTACGACTACAAATTTTTGGCACGTGCCTTCGAGCTGTCGAATAGCTAGTTCATATTCTCCTGTCACCCACAACGGAAATAGAACCCGACTTTCCGCTTCCTTCCCCTCGTCCTTGGATAACCAGTCACTGAGTCATTTCTTTTATGAATATCACATGGCAGGCCTTGTTAACCGACGAGCGAGTCGGTGCTTTGCGAAACTGCGGTCTTCCTGGATGGAATGAAATGTAGTGTAGAAGATCCATTTGGGGTCATAGGATGCGTAAACATCTTGCAAGAATAAGGACAGTCATAAAGCATATTCAAATTGATGGATCTTTCTTATATCTCCTTCTTGGGACAGCTCATGTTGTTGTGTCCCATGTCTTAATGTTTATTTTCCTCCTTCACTTGAGGTTCTGTCGTAGTTCATCCTCGTGGCTGCTTTACATATTATTTTTATTACAGATAGTAATGCCTGCGTTGTAGATAATTAGATATCACATCGTCTATTAATCATATTGTAATTCTTGACACGAAGGGTGCAAGACCGCTATTTGCACAAGGACATGTCACCATGAAAAATTAACGAAGCTGGACAGGACATTTCGCGAAAGCACAGGAAAGGGATGAGCCATCAGCATAGGGAGCGGAAACGTGCCAACAAGAAAGTAGTGACACACAGACAACGAAGAATTTCGTATATCGAACCTTTTCAATTTTCGAAATGGCATTTTCTTATACATACCGAGAATATTGCCTGCCCGCCTCCCTTCACCCCAGGAGCGTCGACTATATTAGACGGGCTCACGAGGTTGTCCTCTCAGAGTACTGTACATCAGGGGAGTGTCAGGACGGAATATCGGCAGTGAAGTGACGGGCTCAGTAAGTGTAATGTGTCGTGAATATGTGTAAAGCTTCCAAACCCAAAGCACTGTGGAGAAACCGTCGTCGCTTTCGATTTTACTTCTGAAGCTAAGAAGAAGAAGAAGAAGAAGAAGAAAAAAAAAAAAGAAAAAAAAAAAGAAAAAAAAAAAAAAAAAAAAAAAAAAAAAAAAATATATATATATATATATATATATATATATATATATATATATATATACATACATACGTACATACGTATACACACACACACACACACACACACACACACACACACACACACACACACACACACACACACATACACAGACACACACATACACACACACACGCACACTATAGTTTATACAAGGATCCCGTGAGTAAAAAAAAATACAGTAGAGTTACGCCTTCAACTCATATTCGTCTTGTTTCACTTTAGATGGCGAGAACCAGTCAATGCTGATTACGTGTTTAATGTGGA